ACAGCGTGTAGGATCATAAGTTCTCACAAATGAAAATCAATGCATATTTACTTATGTTTTAAAATCGTCTCTTTTGTCGTAATTTTTACATCGAATGACCGTGAGGGCATTCCGGTGTATTGTTGCCACAGACATTTCTACCCACGTGACTTTCGTTTTGACTGATAACCGAACGCAAAATAACATTCCTTATCACTTGTTATATACCAATTTCATCAATAAATATTCATGAAAATAATTTTTAAGAACATAGATAAATGATATGAATATGTTTTGTCGTGAGCAATATATATATCAATAACAAATCAAGAATACCGAAAATTTGTGTTAACGCATGCGGAAGAATATCTCAAGAACGTTTTGCGGGAAAATATGAATGCCTACTCAAATCTATTAGAAAACTCGAATTATTACAGAAGAGTGTCCACCATGCACTTGCACTGCACTATTATTAGAATAGTAGAATAGAATGATATACAAATGGCTGAAAATTATATATACATGTAACTGTTATATACAAATATTAATATAATATATAACAACAAACCAGAGTATACTGATTTGTATCACAACAATATTATAGTTATTACGGTGAGGTTGAATTCCCTGTCATTTATTCATCATCCACGCACGAACTTGTCTCAGAAAAAAATATGTCTATGTACCTTAACCTCACTTTGTTTTAATTTTCCCATGTGAAACTGATATATCACAATCTTGAAAAGGACATTAACGGTTGTTAATATTAGATTCATTTTCAAAAAATTCCTTTTGGGTAGGTTTCTACAGTATAGATAAAATTCTTGATTATTTAAAGCAGAAATATCATCAAAGTAACGGTCAAGGCCGCAGAGCTTTGATAATGTGTGCTTTTCATAGCAATACGAATGATTGTTATCAAAAGATTCCTTAGCATAAAAGAAAGGATTTTATATTCTCTGAGAGTATAAGCTAATGATTCACAAAGAAATAGCTTGGCTTTCAATCATTTTTTCCCCTTTATATTAGAATTTCTGAAAATTACATTTTTCATTTAAAAATACATTATTAAAGTATTAAAGTATATTTGATTGTAGTTTGTCATACTCTGTTCTATAAATTTTGCATGATATATATATATGTGTGTTTTCAGCCTTGTATCACCATCACTGGTGATCTGATGGATAACATCTGTTGTAGAGTCGTCACTGGTTCAGACGTACTTATATATATATATAAAGTCTAAAAGGGCACAACATCCCCAAAAAATATAATAAAATGAACAAATGTTAAATATTTCGGATAACAGATATCCTTCAACAGTATGATCACGATGTAAAATGAATCATATCAATCTAGTCTGATTATAAAACTAAAACAATCTTGAAATTTATACAATAAAACAGTCAAAACTGAACATCATAGAGCCGCTTGTACAATTATAATTTTTTTAAACATGACGTAGGTTATGTAGCTATATTTTGTAGTGTACTGTATAGCCGGGTAAAATGGCGTTCCGGCTAAATGGAAATCAAGAAGGAATATTTCGCTCCTTAAACTTTTATTTTAGCAGTCCGGCAAGACCGAACAACAAACTCCAAACCAAATGTAAAGTAACATACAAACAATAACAATATATATAAGCACAAGCAATTAAAGGATTAAGAAGATTAACATATGCCAAATAGAAATAACAATAGATTAGAAGAGTAATTAATGTCCGACACGTATAAGTAAATTATTGTCTAAACTGTTACAGAGAATAAATAATTAAATGAATAGAGTAAATGAATTTAAGTCCTTTGTCCAAGATTATGACACATAATCCGTGTAAAACACTTATGCCTAAATTTACGACAAAGTTCAGAATAATAAAATAAACCTAAATATACATTAAAACAATTGAATAAATAAAATGTTGTTTAAAACTATTTTCACACTGCACAGTCCAAATTGTCCGGTCATATATTCCCGCGGCCCTTGAAGACACGACCCGGGTCTTAATGTTCATCTAAAAGTGTTCCGAAAGTTTCTTCTGTGATTGTGGCGTCCTCTGTAACGATAATTTTGGTTTGGATGATTATCTTCTCTTGTATTTTTCCGAAAATTGTTCAATTCGTCTTCTAGTTTGGTGATTCGATCCCGCATATGTTCTTTATCGCGTTGTAATTGGTATTGCTGGTCGATTGCATCACACCTTTGATCGTAAATCCGAAAATTAGCTTCTTCAAGATCAGTGATGCGTTCCCGTAATTTTTCCATATCTTTTTTATCATCTGCACCTTGTTTTTGAAGTTTTTCTAAATTGCTAACAACACTGGTATGCTTTTGATTTAATTCTTTAAATTTCTTTTCATAGTGTACACTTTTAATTTTGTATTTAACTCTCTCGGAATTCACTCGGTCGTGCCTGAGTCTAACGTTATCTATAAATTCCCTATTATAATCTAAGGTTGGAAAGAAGTCCATCAGTTCAATAGTATTGAGTTCCGCACAAGGAAAAATTGACATAGCTTTCTGTTCTTTGAATTTTCTCATTCTTTCTGCGTCACGACGTAACTTGGATTTCGATTTAACCTTAACAACTTTCACGTCCGGTTGTCTGTGAAAATTACACATTCTGGCGAAATGTCCAAAACTTCTGCACTTATAACAAAATGACGTTTTTGCTATACATTGTCTAAAATGAAATTGATTGTTCACAGTCTTTCCACAAAACTTACATAGGTAGTTGTCCATATGTTGAAAATTTCTTGTCTGAAAGGTAGTTCCATGATCAGACATCTGGTATCTCCAGTCTCGGCCAAAATTTCTGGTTCTCCGCGTATCCATTTTTCTGTTTGCTGGGGGATCAGCTTCACAGGTAGAACAAGGTATCCGATAGATGCGTTGCCCGGGTCCTCCACCAGATATAGCCGGGTAAAATGGCGTTCCGGCTAAATGGAAATCAAGAAGGAATATTTCGCTCCTTAAACTTTTATTTTAGCAGTCCGGCAAGACCGAACAACAAACTCCAAACCAAATGTAAAGTAACATACAAACAATAACAATATATATAAGCACAAGCAATTAAAGGATTAAGAAGATTAACATATGCCAAATAGAAATAACAATAGATTAGAAGAGTAATTAATGTCCGACACGTATAAGTAAATTATTGTCTAAACTGTTACAGAGAATAAATAATTAAATGAATAGAGTAAATGAATTTAAGTCCTTTGTCCAAGATTATGACACATAATCCGTGTAAAACACTTATGCCTAAATTTACGACAAAGTTCAGAATAATAAAATAAACCTAAATATACATTAAAACAATTGAATAAATAAAATGTTGTTTAAAACTATTTTCACACTGCACAGTCCAAATTGTCCGGTCATAACTGTATCAAAATTATATGATCCATCGCCCCGTAAGATTTATCGTTGGCTATTATTCAGTCATTTTATATTTATAAATATATATATATTTGTGGCAATCGCCAATGGCAGTCAGCAGGGTTTAAGTACATTTGTTGTTCGACCTGTTAGTCAAATGCGTTTTGTTAAAATATACTTTTTCACTTTTTTGGTCTTTTGGAAAATGTTGTTTGTGCTGTATTTAGACCCCTCTAACAAAAAATTTGTTTTGCATGCACACGTATAAAAATTGCGGTTTTTATCCAACGCAATCATAGGTTTGGACGTTGTTTTCAATTTAGACTTGTTTATATTTTTTCGTTTGGGCTTGTATTATATTTGCCTTCTGGTTTATATGATCCGTTCATCCTATTTTGACTCGTCAAAATTCAAGAGTCTATCCTTAATTGAGGTAAATTGTATGGCTTTCCAAATACCGTTTCGATTCCTAACATCACTGAAGAGACATTAATTGTCGAAATCTTGATATAGTGTACAAAAACCTTTGCACCTTTTGTTTGCGGTATACCATCTTTTCCGCAAGTTTATTGTTTTCTGTTTAGTATTAAATTTATAATTAAGATCCATTCATTACATCGGTGTCCGTTTATTTGGCAATCGCCAATGGCAGTCAGCAGGGTTTAAGAACATTTGTTGTTCGACCTGTTAGTCAAATGCGTTTTGTCAAAATATACTTTTTCACTTTTTTGGTCTTTTGGAAAATGTTGTTTATGCTGTATTTAGACCCCTCTAACAAGAAATTTGTTTTGCATGCACACGTATAAAAATTGCGGTTTTTATCTAACGCAATCATAGGTTTGAACGTAGTTTTCAATTTAGACTTGTATATTGCCAAATAAATTATATATATATATATCATTGTACTATTCAAAAGCTTGAATATGTGATATCTCGGACATCTTTCAAGAAAACATCGATTTGATGGAAATTGCACCGTACGAATATTTGACGACCGAGCAATGACAGAACACAAGATATACTTTCGAATGACATATGATATAGTTGTTCGATCCATAAAAATCAATCATGCTTCTGAATTTAACCCACATGAAAAAAACTTTATAAACTGAAAATTCTTTAAGCATATTTTTAAGAGCAAAAACTCAAATTTTTTTCTTACAAGAAAAAAAAAAGAGTTTATAGAAATTAATAAAAAATGTGAGATATTTCTGTTACAAAGGTTGTTGCACGAAAAGGCAAACGCCAAGAAAGTCCTTCAGAGAAATCTTATGATTGACCTATATATCTCTTACAATAGACCGGTTGAACTCAGGTGCCCCGGTAGGTTAAAACGTTTTTTGCTCTTCTAATGGCACCTGTTGTGTTGGTCGTGGCAAGTGTAAATGCGCCTATAATCAACTGTCATACTAGTGGGAGGTTTAGCTTTCTATAAAACCAGGTTTTACCCACCAATTTTCTTCAACAACTTCGGAAAATGCCTGGTCCAAGTCAGGAATTTGACAGTTGTTTTCCATTTGTTCCCATTGGTTGATATAGTGTAACGTTTGATTTTCAGTTTTATAGACTTTATTGGAGTTCGGTATTTTTGTTATTAAGATTCTAGGTATCGTTTGCAGAATTTTTTAATTTTCACATTATAGTTACAGGCTTTGAGCAGAAATAATGCCTTGCTGTACCAATGTTCTTGGGAAAATCCAAGCCAAACACATAGAAGTAGATGATCTTGGAAAAGCAAAACAATTTAGATTATTCAGCATTGCTCGTCCATACATGCGAAGTTTCCACTCATCGTGGTTTTGTTTTTTTATCGCTTTCACTTCATGGTTTGGGTTACAACCATTACTCCCCACAATAAGAAAAGAACTAAAGTTATCAAAAACAGATCTTGCCAACTCAGGTATTGCTAGCGTTGCTGCTACCGTGGCTGTTCGGGTAATTATTGGACCTATGTGTGACAAATATGGACCTCGAAAAACAATGTCTTGTCTTCTAATTTCTGGTGCTGTACCAATGGCACTAGCTGGCTTAATTAAAAGTGGTACAGGTCTGATTATATTGCGATTATTCGTTGGAATATTAGGTGGAACATTCGTTCCGTGTCAATTCTGGACAACAGCAATGTTTAGTTCGAAGATAGTAGGAACTGCTAACGCCATAGCTGCTGGATGGGGAAATCTAGGTGGAGGATTTACTTTTATTTTAATGCCGGGCTTATTTCGGTTAATGGAAGTATTTGGAGCAGACGAATTTCTGGCATGGAAGATAGCAGTCGTCATACCTTCAGTTATCTGTGTTTTCATAGGTAGGCTGTAAAAATAATGATGTAGTTTCATATACATGTTAGCATGGGCAATCAAAGTTTGAGCTGCTGTACTCATTATTCCTTAAAACAATGAGAAAACATAAAATTTATCTGAATATTTTGTAATAGTATTATTGTGTATATTCTAACTAATTTAATACGTTTAGAAAGAGTCACATGTTCAACTATGTTTTCAAAGGTTGACTGAAAATAGCAGATAGAAAAGTGATATTGCAGGGTTATTCTTAGAAAAGTGATATTCCTCGGTTATTTTTAGAATATCAGACACAATCGAAACAGCCAATCAAATGAATTGGTGCTCTACTTCTGGCTTATTGACAATAATATAACAATTGTATCCTGTGTTAGAGGTCGATAGAAGAATATATTGACCTAAAGAAGTATATCGACCTCTGACTTTGTCCTCAGTCAATATATGTCTTTCTGGTCGATATATCCTTGTATCGATCTCATTTAAAGGCTATAATTTTATATTAGAATATACTTGAAAATGTTAGTTTTTCATATCAAATACAATAGGCTCTTACTGTGGCGTAATAACTTAAGCATTGTGACATCGGAAATGTACGGGGAAATGCATGTGAAAGTCGTCTTTTGCAAGATGCAGGCATAATTTCCGAGCTGTCTTTCCAGTCCGTTTATTGTTCAGTTTTTAAAACTTAACTAACTGAAAAAGAGAGGTGGAAGATTCCCAAAGAATATTCAAACTCATAAGTCGAAAACAAACTGACAATGCCATGGCACAAAAAACGAAGAACAACAAAAGACTAGCAACAGTCTACAAAGCATAGAAAACTAAAGACTATGCAACAGTAACTCCTCCAAAAACCGGAAATGTATACTTGGTACTTGTTCTGGAAGTGAATGAAAAATGTAAGACCGGTTGGTAGGCAAACAACATTCAATTAGACGTTTTAACGTTGGTATAAGTTTAAACATGATTAGCATGTGCATAACGATTTGTTAATGTACAAAACTATTAAATGAATTGCAAATGCTTGCCACTAAAATCTTGCGTGTATTTGTTTCAGGGATTTTAATACTGTTCTCTTCTGATGATTGTCCACAAGGCCATTGGGAAAACCGAATATTGCCACCATCAGCAAAATTACTGGAAAACACAAAAAATAAAACGCAGGGTGTTGCGAATTTAGGATTTAAAAATGACTCAAAGAAAGTTGAGAGGTCGAATGAAGGTAAGATGTGAATAAATCAAAGTATTGTTTACCAAAATGAACATATATGTTACAAGTTATAAATGCTCATCATTGTGAAATTTCTTGTTTTCCTTTCTTTATATTTTACACATAGTGTTTTTATATTTAACTTTGTGATACCAAACCATTATTGACAAGATAGTACATCGACATAAACACATATAGAAATAGAGTTGACTAAATTTGGCAATTCTTTTTATGTTCCTTTTGGTCATATAGCTCCTAACGTTTCTACGTATTTTGACATCCCTGGTGTTCAAATGATTTGGTGTGAGCGTTCCTGATTAAGGTAAATCATGAAAAGCTCTTCGGACGCACGGAATTTTTAAAGTGTTTTATTTCACCAGCACTAAGTTGATACCCCTGCTGGTGGACTGTTAGCCGTGAAGGTATCATAGCTCAGTCGTTAAGGCTTCGATACCTACATTTTATATAACATGTTTTTTTTTTAAATATTCCCTTTTGATAAATGAAGACATTATTAGAAAACTAAGGTTCCAACTTACTCAGGCAAAGTTTACCCAGTCTGAATAGGCTATTCTTTTAAGGGTCCATTTGGTCATAAGGCTCCTTAGGTTTTTACGTATTTATACATCCCTGTCTTTTATATGTTTGGGTTTGAGCATTCTTGATAAAGGTTAATCCTGATAATCGCTTCGGATGTAAGAAATTCATAAATTGTTATTTTTATTTCTCTAATTCTTCGTCAATTTATCCCTTTCTGCACCCATTGTATAAAAAAATTTTAATCAACGTGTGGTTCGTTTGATCTCAGTTCTTCATTGGTTAAAATCCGATTATGACGTCGAATTTTCTTGCTTTCCTCTGAATTTCCTATTGTGACGGCATGGAAAAAGGCGACTATGCCTGATGACGTCACATAGAAAGAACACATCTTTTTGCAGATCATTCAAAAAGAAGGAATAAGTTTGACTGCATATTGTTTAAAAATCATTAGAGAAACAGATTCCACCACCAAATCTCGTGTGATACGATATTTATCCACTCGACAGTTAAATTTTAAATATTCAAAACGCTCGGCGAGCCTCTCGTTTTAAATTTGAAAATGTAACTGTCTCGAGTGGATAAATATCGTATCACACTCGATGCAGTGGTAGAATCTATATATATATAGAGTTCTACGGATGAATATATATAGATTCTACCACTGCATCGAGTGTGATACGATATTTATCCACTCGAGACAGTAAAATTTTCAAATTTAAATGCCGAGAGTGGATAAATATCGTATTACACGAGATTTGGTGGTGGAATCTGTTTCTCTAATGATTTTCAAACAATACGCAGGCAAATTTTTTCCTTCTTTTCGAATGATCTACAAAAAGATGTGACGTCATCAGGCATGGTCGCCTTTTTCATGCCGTCACAATAGGAAATTCAGAGCAAAGCAAGAAAATTCGACGTCATAATCGGATTTTAACCAATGAAGAACTGAGATCAAACGAACCACACGTTGATTAATTTTTTTTTATACAATGGGTGCAGGAAGGGATAAATTGACGAAGAATTAGAGAAAACTATTTACTAAATATCTAATTAATAGTTTTTAGACATTCACATATTAACTAATGATAATGCCATTAGAAATAAAAACTCCGCCTAAATCAGAACAGGGAATAACATAAGAATGTAAAGAAGCATATGCATATGTAAATATAAATCAACATGCAGACATCTTATACGTTCAGGTATTTCACATCCAATATTTTATGGTAATATTCTTTACAAAGTGCAAAAATGTCGGCATTCACCTCAAAAGCTAACCAAACCTTTAAACAGACTTATTCGGAAGGGATATAGTTACGATACTGTTGTCAGGTCATTAAGGATTGCATATTTTGGTATTAATATTGATTCACTCATAGGGTCTTTGCATCGGAAATAAACACATTTATTCTAAAACCAGTTGTTGGCATGATACGGGTTATGTTCTTCTCATATATTTTATGATGGTATGATACTAAACCCCTAACGGGAAGGATTGTACCTGATTTTCATATGATGAAGATATAATCTTTCAATAAGTTTAATTGAGGTCTGGATCTGGCATGTCAGTAACTGCTAGTATTCCTTTGTTAATTTATGTATCATTGTCATTTTGCTTAGTTTCTTTTGTTACCTATTCTGACATCGGACTCGGACTTCTTTTAAACTGAGTTTTACTGTGCGTATTGCTATGTGTTTCTTTATTCTACATTGGCTAGAGATATAGGGGGAGGGTTGAGATCTCACAAAACATGTTTAACCCCGCCGCATGTTTGCGCCTGTCCCAAGTCAGGAGCCTCTGGCCTTTGTTAGTCTTGTATGTTTTTTTAATTTTAGTTCCTTTATATGTTTTGGAGTTTAGTGTGACGTCCATTTTCACTGAACCAGTATACAATTTTATTTAGGGGCCAGCTGAGGACCACCTCCGGGTGCGGGATTTTCTCGCTGCGTTGAAGACCCATTGGTGGCCTTCGGCTGTTACCTGCTCTTTGGTCGGGTTGTTGTCTCTTTGACATATTCCCCATTTCCATTCTCAATTTTATAATAATAATAAACGAATAAGCTTTATTTAGAGTCGGCATAATATACAAACAAGGACATAACATAAGCTCTAATGAGTTTTTAACCGACATCCAAGACATAACAATACAATACACAATACGCATGTAATAAGTTACATATCACAAATGAAACACTGTAATTAAGCATGGTGGTAATAAGCAGATTATAAACATGATAAGCTAGGTATTAAAGTTAAAAGCATATGAAATGTAAACTATGCATGATTTGAAAGCTGGTGAAATGCATAGCATAAAATATTGAAAATAGCATATCGTCATTCTTCTGTAAAATATAATGTAGTTTGTCAACCAGAATTATTACTGTTACATTTGATGGTAGGATTAATTGAATCTATTTGTGTCGAATCTCTTGTTGAGAAGATTCATTATTCAGATTTTATCATTTGTTAAAAAATTCGCTGTAAAAAACAGATAATATAAGACAATGCATCATCTAAAACTGAATTTACTAAATCTGGTTATATGTGGGATTAACCTCCACCGGGACATAGAAAAATACGTATCGATATATGTCGAGCTATTAATAAACAAAAGAGAAAAGAGATATACATTAAAGATAACCAACATAAACTCAATCTGGCCATAAGTAGTTGGAACCTTAGTCTCTAAAACAATGAAAACGATATGTATCTGATTTATTTATAGACATTTCTATGGTAGTAAACATCAGATAAGGATCAATGTAGTAAGTGTTTTGTCTGCAGCATCCTTAAATTAAAGTTCGTTTTCCTTGAAATTATAGATAATTTACCGATAGAACATCATATTTTTTTTAATGTCTGGTGAAAGGAAAGAATTAGCCAAAGTTATTCTTTTATGTTTCCACACTATGATATTTCGATTATTATTTATGATGTAGTCTACCGGAGTTGTTTAAAAAAAATCCCGCGTTTTTAGCGGCAATAAAAATTTATAGTCCTTCATCAAGGTCCACCCACTGTGCAGAACATACCCATTGAATTTATTTTTTACTTTCTTCTTTTCCTCATTATGTATGAATTAATTGCCACCAGGCTTTAAACTAATAACAATAATTCAAGTCCAAGTTAAATCAAAACAAAAACAAATGACAGAAGACCTGTCTTTAAGTTTGAATGATGCCCTAGAAAAACATCAATTCTTGCACACAAATTATGTAATATATATACGACAACACGTAGTATTGTAATAAAAGATTGAATAAAATAATAACGGCACATGTTGACATGAATTTTCATTGACATTGTCATAACTATACATTAACTATTTACAAAATGAATTTTTCGAAATACTAAGGATTGTCTTCCCCAGGAATAGATGACCTTAGCTGTATTTGGCAAAACCTTTCGGACTTTTGGGTCCTCAATGCTCTTCAACTTCGTACGTTATTTGACCTTTTAACTTTTGTGATTCGAGCGTCACTTATGAGTCTTTTGTAGACGAAACGCTTGTCTTTTGAAATTAAGAAGTTGTTATTCTGTCTTATTTACTGTTTGTCAATGTCTCTGTCTCTCACGAGATTCCTGTCATGTCGAAAAACCATGAAATTGCCATGAAATGGGATAATGAAATTCACTTTGCTTTCAATCCATTTTTTGTCAGTTTTAAATTAAAGAGATGCAGTGTCATAGTAAAATTGAGAATGGAAACGGGGAATGTGTCAAAGAGACAACAACCCGCCCAAAGAGTAGAAAACAGCCCAAGGGCAACAATGGGTCTTCAACACAGTGAGAAAATCCCGCACCCGGAGGCGGGCTTCAGCTGGCCCTTATGATGTGTACTAGTTCATAGAAAATGGACGTCACACTAAACCCTAAAACATATAAATGAACCGAAATAAAAAAAAACACAAGTCTAACGAAGGCCAAAGGCTCCTGACTTGGGACAGGCGAAAAAATGCGGCGGTGTTAAACATGTTTTTTGAGATCTCAACCCTCCTCCTCTAGCCAATGTAGAATAAACAACACATGTAGCAATACGCACAGTAAAATTCAGTTTAAAAAAAAGTCCGAGTCCGATGTTAGAATAGGTAACAGAAGAAACTAAGAAAAATGACAATGATAACATAAATAAACAAAGGACTACTAGCAGTTACTGACATGCCAGCTCCAGACCTCAATGAAACTGATTGAAAGATTATGTCGTCATCATATGAAAATCAAGCACAATCCTCCCGTTAGGGGTTTAGTATCATACCATCATAAAATATACGAGAAGAACATAACCCTTATCATGCCAACAACTGGTTTTAGCTTAAATGTGTTTATTTCCGATGCAAAGACTCTATGAATGAATCAATATTAATTAAAGAAAAATGCCATCTTTTATGACCTGACAACAGTATCGTAACTATATCACTTCTGAATAAGTCTGTTTAAAGGTTTGGTTAGCTTTTGAGGTGAATGACGACATTTTGGGCTTTGTATAGAATATTTCCATAAAAGATTGGATGTGAAATACCTGAACGTATAAGATGTCAGCACGTTGTTTTATATTTACGAATCATGTCCTTGTACCGATGATAAAATTTAGTAAAAGTTTGTGATATCGAAAAAATATACATTTCAATTTACCGGTTGACTATGCTTAGAATGGAAGGTTTAAATATTCAACATGCCGGTTTTCCCTCTGTTTCTTTTCGTACCAAAGCCAGAATATAACGACGTTTTGATGAATTCGACTCGAAATGTGAATTTCATTTTGTAGAGTTGTGTGAAACTTTAAAAGTGATGATCTCTTGGCGTATAAGAGGAATAAAATTGAGAATGAAAATGGGGATTGTGTCAAACAGACAACAACCCGACCGAAGAGCAGAAAACAGCCGAAGGCCACAAATGGGTCTTCAACACAGCAAGAAAATCTCGCATCCGAAGGCGGGCTTCAGCTGGCCACTAAACAAAAATGTGTACTAGTTCAGTGAAAATGGACGTCATACTAAACTCTAAAACATATAAAGGAACTAAAATTAAAAAAACATACAAGACTAACAAAGGCCAGAGGCTCCTGACTTGACACAGGCGCAAACATGCGGCGGGGTTAAACATGTTTTGTTAGATCTCAACCCTCCCCCTATAACTCTAGCCAATGTAAAATAAACAAACACACACACACAGCAATACGCACAGTAAAACTCAGTTTAAAAGAAGTCCGAGTCCGATGTCAGAATAGGTAACAAAAGAAACTAAGCAAAATGACAATGGTACATAAATTAACAAAGGACTACTAGCAGTTACTGACATGCCAGCTCCAGACCTCAATTAAACTGATTGAAAGATCATGTCTTCATCATTTGAAAATCAAGCACAATCCCTCCCGTTAGGGGTTTAGTATCATACCATCATAAATATACGAGAAGAACATAACCCGTATCATGCCAACAACTGGTTTTAGATTGATTGTGTTTATTCCCGATGCAAAGACCCTATGAGTGAATCAATACTACACCAAAATATGCCATCTTTAATGACCTGACAACAGTATCGTAACTATATCCCTTCTGAATAAGTTTGTTTAAAAGATTGGTTAACTTTTGAGGTGAATGTCGACATTTTTGTGCTTTGTATAGAATATTACCATCAACGATTGGATGTGAAATACCTGAACGTATAAGATGTCTGCATGTTGATTTATATTTACGAATGATGTCCTTATACCGATGATAAAATTTAATAAATGTTTTGACTAGTTTGTGATATCGAAAACCCTGGTGTAATAATTTTTCAGTAATACAGAGATTTCTTTCGTTAAAATCAAATACGTTGTTACATACACGAGCGAATCGAACAAGTTGAGATATATAAACAGCATAAGACGGTGATAAGGGAACGTCACCATCTAAAAATGGATAATAAACAATAGGAAATGAAACATCATTTCTTTTATCATAAATGTTGGTATTAAGCTTTCCGTTTTGGGACCTATTTTTCAAGTTCTTCAGAAATTCTTGAGGTTGCTATTTATCTCAAATGACTTTGTCATTAGCATTTACTAGTATTACAAATGGACATAACACTGATGCCAACATATCATGAGAGGCATTCGCTTTCAGAAGATATGTTTCGAAACAATGAATTATAGTTATTTATTGGTTTTGAATTTATTTTATGCTTAGATTTATAATTTCGTTTATTTGTTTTATATGCCTCTGGAATAAACGAATGTTATCGATTTTTATCCAATCATTTTTAGTTCGTTTTTTTTTTATATTATTAAACAATTGTTATTAAGTACATACAATAAATTACATAAAACTCAAATACAAACTGACATCTATTTTTAGTCGAAAAGGAAACGAATGTAGACAAACTGGAAGTACAGACGTCTCCCATAGAACAGACAAATGAAAATAAAGAGCCAACCACCCCAGTCGACAAGTTTTGGGCAGCTGTTACGATGGTGGTTTTGGTGATGCAGTATGGAATGTGTTTTGGAGTAGAAATTGCTGTCAATACCGTTATGAACCTATATTTTCTTTATAGATTTAAAAAGGAGGATTGTTTGAAGGATATCACCAATCCATTCAATACGACAAACATGACTACCCCAAGTCTTGTCCGACTGGAAGAAACTAACGAATGTAGCATTGTTGATCAGGATACAGCTAGTTTGATTGCATCTTTATTTGGTCTTATGAATCTCTTTGCTAGGGCAATGGGTGGCATTTATTCTGATGTGTTGCGTCAACATTTAGGCATTGCGGGTCGTCTGACAGCCCATTTCACTTGTCTTGTAGGAGAGGGTGTAATGCTGATAATCTTTAGTACTATGTCTACTATACCCAACGCCATTGCTGTCATGATATTTTTCAGCATGTTTGTACAAATGTCCGAAGGGACAACCTATGCTATCGTCCCTTATGTCCTTCCATTACACATAGGTATTGTAGCGGGATTAGTGGGGGCAGGTGGAAACGCTGGCGCTCTGATATGGAATACAATATGGCGACAGTTAGTCGAGGAGGATCCAAGTCGGTGGTTTTGGCTCTTAGGATTAACCGTTTTATCTGGAAGCTTATTGACGTTTTTAGTTGAGGTACAAGATAAGCGAATTTGGGATGTATTTGTTTGCTGTAAACGTCGGAAAAAGAAGTACAGCTTATAATAATTGAAAAATGGAAAAGATGTTTTAGCATCACTGCCTTTTTTCAATTCATTATTATTTTAATAAATATGCAGTATATCATATTTGTTTTTCGTTCATTATTTTGTACATAAATCAGGCAGTTAGTTTTCTCGTTTGAATTGTTTTACATTTGTCATTCCGGGGCCTTTTGTAGCTCACTATGCAGTATGGGTTTTACTCATTGTTGAAGGAGGTATGGTGACCTATAGTAGTTAATTTCTAAGTCTTTTGGTCTCTTGTGGAGAGTTGTCTCATTGGCAATCATACCACATCTTCTTATTTTTATATTTATGTATTGTGCAAAATATATTATGTCAATACCAGTGTTGAGTGAGCGTTGAAAATAGTTTGAATAATAGAGAACGATAGTTTATTATCTTTTATGTACCTTAGGTTTAGATGCTATCTAATTGTTAACATTTTTCCACTTTCAATATTTTATAACACTAATACATATGAAAATAAAAGTTACATTCTATTTTCAAATTATTCCGATATATGTTAATGATTTTATCTTCTTGCACGTCATACTGTTATAATGTTTTAGTAAAACTTGACATACTTATACGATTTTTCAAGAATTCAATAATTTCTAATTATAAGTTATTCTTAAAACGAGTAAGTTCATCATGAAAAGAGAAGTATAAAAATAAGAAGATGTGGTATAATTGCCAAATGAGACAACTTTCCCCTGAAGTAGATCCAATGACATAGAAGTTAACAACTATAGGTCACCGTACGGCCTTCAACAATGAGCAAAACCCATACCGCATAGTCAGCTATGAAAGGCCCCGAAATGACAAATGTAAAACAATTCAAACGAGAACACTTACGGCCTGATTTGTGTCGTTTGAAATACTACTAGTAATTAGATTCACACAGAGATAGTCATTGTGTCATTCTTATAGAGTTGTTGTTTTATCTTATTTTATCGACATTCTATTTTGGCGTTTGTAAAATGGAGTGTAAGGCTCACAAATATTTAAGGGGCAACAGACGGAACTTCCTAAAATGTGAAAGGCATATGCTGACATTCCACAAACGCCTAAATGGGCACAAGACCAATATCCCCTTTTCCACCGGTTAACATTAACAGATTGCCTGTTTATATATGATATATTACAAATGATCACATGTACTTGATTCCTTGTAAACAAGTGTAAAAACTATTCTAAACGAGTGGTTTTATTAAGCTAGTTTGCTACTGTACCTTATTATGTCGTTAAAATATTCTGTACGTAATAAGTTGAAATCACTTGTTTTCATCCATTCAAATCTGTGATTACTTATATGAGGGTAATGTTGTTATCTAAAACAAAACTTAGTTTTTATGTTCGGTCAAGTTCGTGTATGTATACGTGAAATTCCCATAAATTCGACGTGACTTTAACATTATTTTAGAGACAACAGAAGTTTAAATAGTTTGAATCAATTCATGATAAACAAATCAAGATAACAAACAAAAACTGAGGGAATCACACGAACTCCAAACGGATTGAGACCGGAAACGTCCACACAAACCTTCAATTCAATGAAAATACTGGTAAAGATTGATACGAAATCAGCATTGCTACTGAGAAATTCCTACTAGAAACTAAGTTTCACGTGACAAAACTACCCGAGTGTGAAATACATGGTACCACAGATTTTGCTTAAACAGCGTTTTTCAAATCCCATCTCTCCAGGTATGACATAAGTCTCGATGCAAATTATATGAAGTATAACTTAGTATCTTAAGACTTTTAAGAGAGTCGTTTCACATGGAAACGCACGTACACATCTTACCTTTTACCTTACATAACCTGTTTTATGATTTAACCAAATCAATGTATATTTACCTTTCGCATAATAAGATAACTTCCTCGTAAATTTTGACATTGAAGGACTGTTAAACAATAAGGTATATATACTTTATTCACTTTTATCATATAATTGTTTCTTTAATACAAATACATATGTGTTTGTTTGTTTGTTAGTAAGTGTGTTTTGTATTATGGATTTTTGCATTCTCCATTTAGATATTTGATGGTGTTCATACGTGCCTAAAGACCGATCGAATGAGATTTGTACCAGAGAACACATTATGTAATCTGCATGATTCAGTAATTAGTGTCATTAAATGTTCGTTATCAATCAGAGCTATGAATTGAAAAGTGTTTCTTATATTTCTTTCGATTAATTATTGAGGAAAGGAGTAATGAAAGCAATAAGTCGCAGTCAAATGAAAAACAATGAAAAGCAGACAAAAAACGAAGTGAAAAGGTGGGAATCGGATGCATTCGAGACCGAATATAATGATACATAAGAAGAAACGGTCAGAAACCATTCTATAAATTTACATCAGCACAACATTCTTGATCATTGACGAGAATGTGGCCATTTTTTCAGGTGCGTTATAGGTATCTATTTATATATTGATCTTTGGATTATTCAACGGTTACCTTTAGGCGTTCCCTATAAAGGAATGCCAATAATCAAAAGTGTTTTTTTTTTAGTTTGGTAAGTGTTACATTAACGTTTTCGAGAGCAACACCTGTTGGGGCATTATAGTACACCTCTTTTTACAAAAGAAAAGTTTTAAAAATACTTGGGTGTTACTCTCCTTAATCACGCAACAAACATGCTTTGTAATCACACTGAATAACATTCGTTTGACGATTTCCTAGGGCGTCGAAAACTGTATATCTCTGACCTGCTATTTTGGGTTAGACTGAAACCATAGACCTTCAACTAAATACTCCCTTGAAAAAATGGACCTCCAACTAAATACTCCCGTGAACCATGGACCTCCAGCTTCATAATCAATGTTAATAATGATTGTGCATGAATTGTTAGAGCAAATTGAATATAGAAGTAAAAGACTTGAAAGAAAAACAATGATGTAAACTTTGTTGCCTTCTCCAATTTTTAAGCATACATCTCAAATATACTTCTGTCAGACTATTCTCTAATTCATATTCGTGATTTCTATCATAATTTTTATACAGTATAAATTTTCTTTTTTCCAATACATTGGATTGAAAAAAATCAACTGGCATTATTTCCCATCCGAAAACATCGAGTTTTTACAAATACTTATATAAAAAAAAAACCAACCACACGAAAATTCATATTTCATTTGATGTTATATACACTTGTTTTAAAATAGACTTCATTCATGAAAATGTAACATGGCATTTCAGCAGCAAACACCCGTAAATCGCATATCATTTGAGCTGTGGATATTGTCACTACAGCAAGGTGTTGCACTCCTTAAGTACACAAACCATTGTACCTTTTGAATTATTTTTATTCACATTACAACGATACTTCTTACTGTTCTATTTAGAATATAAAAATACAAATTTGATTTGGAGTGTATAAAAAATTAATTTCTTTTTTATCCGGGTTTCCAAGCACATTTCTACTAAAATCAAATTAGTGGTCATGTTATGGAGTTTGGTATTTTGAGGTGTAAATCCTGTTGCTTTACATTCTATTTCCCATTCAATTTTTGTCAAGGTAGGTCATTAATAATAATAATGATAATAATAATGATAATAATAATAATAATAATAATAATTATAATAATAATAATAATAATAATAAAAATAATGATAATAATAATAATAATAATAATAATAATAATAATAATAATAAAAATGATAATAATATTAATAAAATAGTATATGAACCGCTTTTGTTTCAAGAATCACAACCAAATAAGTCTGCAACTTTTGAGCTACAAACATACATTTGGAAAATTAAAAATGCAACTAATTACTAATCAAAACCATCTGAGAACTGATAAACAATATTTATATTTACGAAGCCAATGATGAAGTCATACAAATACACAGTACACACTGAGGGCCGTCGATTAATTGAAAATGTTAAACGAAAATAAGGTTTTATGAATGGGTGTGACCGAATCGCTTTTCGGACTCAAACAAAAACATTAAAAAGCTTTTGATTACTAAGTACTTGAATAGGTGAGGAACCAAATGTCCACATGGAACAAAAAAAGTGGCCAAAATCCATCTCCGGCTATGGGCAACTTTGAAAAGAAATAAGCACCCTAACTCCCTAATAAGTTTTTAATTTGTCAACGGAGAATTTAAAAAAAGGTAGGTTATAAATAATGTTTGTACCGAAGCATGAAAGCCCTCAGTAATTGCAAAATAAGTGTTCATTGTATTGAATTTTGCTACAGTAGTTTCTGCTAATTCTTTTGATCCGCCCTCGAATGAATACTATACAGTTGCTAACATTACACAGTGATATGAGGGAAACATATATCTTGAGAAAAGTATCTTTCAGAACTGTCTACATAGCTTCACATGTTTCCAGGAGCTATAATACTCTTGCTGATGTACTTATTTTCTATTCATTATGGACACCCCAGACTGCTGTCGGATTTACCTCCAGACTATTGTTAGATTCACCTGGGAGAATGGCAAATGTTTCATTAATGTTACCTTGCCATGTTTACTGTGATAAGAGGGGGAAAACATCGCAGTTGAAGTTTATTATTTTTTGTAATAGTATGGAAATTCAATTCAATATCAGTTTTTAGTTTGGTTAATCTAATTCTTCTGACTCTCTTTGAATGGTTTAAAATACTAGTATTTGGTTTGATGAGTTCTATTGATACCCGAATTTAAAATACACATATTTCACCTGTAACTAGGACACATTATGTGACTGCTAGAGGAACTGCCAGGTATGGTGTTTTGTCTTGTGATGTAAAGTTCAAATTTACAAGAGGGACCTTACGTATTGCTGTCCACATCCTAAAATAATACCTGAATTTGACCACAGCCCTAGCGTGAAGTTCAAGAGGGAGAGCGTTCTGTCTTCATCTTACCAACTAGTTTTTCTTCCATCTTTCTCCTCGATCTTGTGAAGTTTCAAACTCGTGTTTTCAATCAAAGCGCGAAAGCGCTGTAAAGGCAGTTAATTACAGGTTGTGTGTATTTTTAGTCCAGTTATATCATTATCTTGCATAGTACAGTGTACTTATCAGAGGTGGCTTTCAGTATTTAAGATTTAGAGTTCTCTAATGATATTGAACAAGTTTTATGAATGTCATATTCTGAGCACTATATGAAGGCGATTGTTCTCACTTGTTTATGAACTAGTGCATTATGTCCAGTTTGTACCTTTTTTATCTATGTTTATAGTCAAATTAGTTATCAAAGGTACCAGGATTGTAATTTAATACGCCAGACGCGCGTTTCGTCTACATAAGACTCATCAGTGACGCTCAGATCAAAATAGTTATAAAGCCAAACAAGTACAAAGTTGAAGAGCATTGAGGACCCAAAATTTCAAAAAGTTGTGCCAAATACGGCTAAGGTAATCTATTCCTGGGATAAGAAAATCCTTAGTTTTTCGAAAAATTCAAAGTTTTGTAACAGGAAGTTTATAAAAATGACCATATAATTGATATTCAAATACTGTTTAAAATAGTTATTCATTTTCTTTTTAGTAATAAGTAAATGTTATCAACTGTATTTTATTCAACTCTGCAAATGTGGTTTGTTACTGGTAAGTATGGATGATAGTTGTTTCATTGGCAATCATAACACATCTCCTTATTTATATAATGATCTATATTCAACGACCTCAGGTACAAAAAAAAATGTATGTAACTAAACTGTGATGGGAAACCTTTGACTTCTTTCTTTTATATAAACTTTTGATTTGGTACCATAGAACTATGTAGAATAAATGTACATTGCAACATGTCAACTCTTTCAATGACAATACTTTTTTAGAAACTATAACTCCAAGCAAAATTATATTTCCAAGTTTCAAGTAATTTATGAATGAAAAAAGGAGTTCTTAATTAAGAAATAAACTGATTCGCTGAGCTCAGCTGGATACACTCGCAGAGGTCCAACCTTGAACAGTTGGGGCAAAAATGGACACAATATTCAAGCTTGATACAGGTCTGAATTTGGATTGTAATTAAAAATTTGACATATTATAGTTTCTGAATAAATGTAGTCAAAGAACTTGAAATAGGTTATATGAATTGAATTTATATTCAATTAAAGATTTCTTGCTGTTGTGCAATAAACTGTGCTGTTGCGCAATACTTAATAAATCTGTTGCCAGACTATAAACAAATAAAGTTCAATTTCTTCTCAATGTCATATTTGAAATTTATGAAAATCTATAGGGAGATTACATCAATAGCTATAAATAATTCACCAAAGTTTCATGCGAACTGCTTAAAGCATTTTTGAGTTGTTGTCCAACAACAGTGCACACGCTGAAATGTCTCGCCTTCTTTACTAATCACTGATATTATGTTGATAGTCCTTAATATAAAGCTTTATTACAACTGTCACATAAACTTAACATTAACCAAGAAAACTAAACATTGACCAATGAACCATGAAAATGAGGTCAAGGTCAGATGAACCATGCCAGGCAGGCATGTACAGCTAACAATTCTTCCATACAACATATATAGTTGACCTATTGCTTATAGTTTAAGAAACAAACAGACCAAAACACAAAAACTTAACAGAGCAATGAACTGTGAAAATGAGGTCAAGGTCAAATAAAACCTGCACGACTGACATAAAGATCATAAAATATTTCCATACACCAAATATAGTTGACCTATTGCATAGAGTATTAGAAAAAAATTTGTAAGGGTTCCACGGAACCCAGTGTCTCGCCTACTTTTTCTGTTAATCACAGGCTCAACAAAAATGAGGAAGTAAATCAATAAAAATATTCCTCTTGATACTATCTTTTGATTGTAAGAAGCTTCTGTCCAAGTTTGGTAAAAATCCAGGATAGTTTATGAATCTAATAAATGTTTAAAAACTTTAACTGCAGACTGAACATGCTGAATGGAATGTTAACTGGAAGAAAACAAAATTTCCTTCTAGATACTAGCAT